TCTATACATTAATGAACCACTTTTACCAGAATTTGTACAATCTTTTAAATGATGTTTCGAAAATGATCGACGAAAATCAATATTTGATATACCTATATCTTCACGTAGTTCATAAAAAACTGTTGGAGCTATTGAACTTATTTCAAATTCAATTTCATTATCATCACCCTCAGGAGAATCATCATCATTTGCGTTTGTACGTTGAACTCTATTAGTATTTAAACTATATAGATAACGACGTGAATGATATATACGATGTTCAGTGCCAACAACAGTTGTTTCATTTTCTATATATTCGTTCGGGTGTTGTGTTATATTATAAAGTAAATCAACAATTGCATGACGTAATGCTTGACTAATAATTGAAGTTTTTGAATTAATAAAACGCAATTGAAGGGAAGATTTAATATATGAAGCCAAATGACAATTAAATGGTTTCCATAAATCCTTACTATGTAAACCTTCACTTATCCCATCAGTATTTATTTGATTGTTGCTACCGGCCATTTTCTTGCTTGTTTATTCAATTGGAAAAAAAAAACATGTGTAATGCTTCAGTGAATGTGACATCAGAATAAATAAAAAAAGGAAGTATTTATATTACAAAAATATTTTTTTTCTCTCAATATATTAATACATGACGTAATAATAGCTATTAGGATACCTTCCTAGGCTTACCTTATAAAACAGATTTCACAAACAAGAAAAAAAAAATGTCTTTCTCGACTCTGATTATACCATTTGATAGATCGAAATTACTACTTTATTGTACGAAAAAGAAATTGTCTCTGAAAAGGTTTTTTATAAACTGCTTGATTTTCTATACAAAAAAAAAACAAACTATTCGAATATCAATAATTTTCTTTTTATGGCGTCTTGATTCTATATCAAAATATTTTACGTTATATATCATTCGATAGAGAAAATTAATCGGAATCAAATCAATTTTTTTGTTGCTAAAGATTATCAATGTAAAACATATACTAATTGCTAATTAAAATTAGTATTTCATACAGGTCTTCAAATAGTCTTGATTTTTAGGGAGCGAAATCAAACTTAACTTTTCTTTTGAACGATACAAGCTTGTAGAGAATTAAATTCTTTATAAAATGATGTTTTTGGGTGTATGAAAATTATTTTTTTTGTATGTATGATAAATACCTATCTTGCCAAGTACTATTTAGTGACGAAAGAACAGAAAAGAAGCTTTCATTCTGTCGCTTTGCATGAATCCAGCCAGTGAATGAAAGGAAGAAAAAAAATAGATATCCATCTGTCATGCATATCATTTTGATAAATACTAAAGACGACATAAAAAGAAAATAACGCGTGTTCTAAATATTTTTTTTTCGCACACGAAATTAAGAAGTTTATAGAGAAATTTTTAAAACTATATGAAAATGTTTTTCAAAGAAATTTTTTTTGTAAAATAAAGTAGAAACTTCGATCTATCGAATGGTGTAATTAGAGTCGAGAAAACTTGTTTTCTTATTTATGAAATTTGCTTCACAAGACAAGTATTATCGGATGTCCAAATAATTATTTTGCATAGGGGAAATATCAGAAATGTAAAATTAGTTTTTGCCTGCTTAAAAAATAAATCTTGTTGATTATTTTTTATGTAGAAGATTTTTAATATAAGCCAATTTAATAGTTGAAAGATTGTAGTATCTGTTTGATAGATTTTAATTAGTATTCTTTAAACGCTTCGATTTGAATATGAAAGATTGTCTTTTCTTCAAGATAACAAATTATTATTTATTCTGTTTAGATAAAATGAATTTCAAAAATTGAAACGAATTATTTGCGTAAATTACACAAATGTGTTATTATAACTTTTACTTTTTTCTTATAGTTTGTCGATCAAAAATAGTTGACTTAGCTCATTCTTAATAACAATTATTTAATAAAAAAAAAAACTTTTCTACCCTTTTTACTCGAAAATACATTCATTTTTATGCTCTATTTTATTGTTTAAGAGCCAGTTCATACAAGCCACGACCGCCTTCATAGACACCCTGCTCAATCGAT